AAAGTCCACTAGCAAGTTAGAAAGGTATGCCTGCTATGTATGCCACACCATAGGGGTGACCCAACCAAGTGGCCAGTAACAATGGGCTGACATGATAACAGGTCAGATATGAAGTTATATAAAAACATGTGTAAAGTGGCAATTGAAAAGTCCATATTAGCAGTGGGAAAAGAGAACCTGATTCTCAAATGCAGGTGGTCCCTATGGAGGTACATAATATCAATCCCATAAGCTAGTTGCCATTCTTTGTGTGTGTGCCTAACTTCCTAAGAGATAGCAGTATCAACTACATCAGAGATATCAAAGACACAACTCACAGGCTGGATCTAGCCTGTAGAGCCATATCATCCAACCCCTGGTGCTGCCCAGGGGTCTCAGAGTGACCCACAGGCAGTATACAGAGCATCCTGGATAGCCCCAGCTCACAGAGCAGCTACTACATACAGAACAGCCCCATAGCTGCCACAAGCCACTCCAGGGCTCCTAGAAGACTGGTGGCAAGGCACATGCCCCACCCCTGACAGGGCCGTCCTCACTGCTACCAGCTTCTGCGGGTGCTCGCCAGCCCCTTCCCTGCCATTTGCCATTGCTGCCTCCAGCTTCTGTGGGTGCCCCCACCAGACTCAAGAGGGACTAGTCACCCAGGCCAGGGCTGGTCCACACACAGCAGCCACTCCGGGGCCCTGGGACCATGCCAACCCAAGGGCTGGGTTGGGGTTCCCCCGGGTCACTACACCATGTGTCTGAGACATAGGGCAGCTGTGGAGAAGGGAAATGTTGCATGTGGGCAGCAGCCTATGTTTAGCTCCTGCTCACCAGGTTGTTCCAGCTCCTCTTCAGTCCCCAACATTGCATGAGGCAGATGGGACCTCTGCCCAGCCCACAAACCCCACTGGGGCTCCAAAGGCAGGAGTAGGGGTTGTCTTAGCAGCCATGCACACAGCACCAACTGTTTAGCCTTCAGTGCATGTAGAGGTGATCAAGGCGGGCAGGAGGGGGCAGTAAGCAGCAGGCACCCAGCATGATTGCAGTAATTGCAAGTGCAGGAATTGTTCTGAGCACCTGCTTCTGCTGCCTGCAATTTGCCAGTGCTCCAAAGGCTCCAATCCTTCCTTCTATGGAGTGGCCAGTCCAGCCCTGATTGTCTGCCAGGCACATACCCCTAGCCTCGTTCCAGGAGAGCCTCAGAGCAAATCACCATGGTACACTAGGCAGCTCAGCCAGTGGCAGCAGGGGGGGCATGACATGGTGACCTGTTCTGAGGTCCTCCTGGAAGAGGGTTGGGGGCATATGCCCAGCATCCAATCAGGGGTGGCCTATCACTCGGCTGCATTTGGTTGCCCCGGCAGTCTCCAGCATGCTGGGAGACATACAGGAGTGCCCCCCACCTATTGGCCTTGACCACTGCAGGCAGCCTTTGTTTCCCATCCCCACGCCCCCGCATTTCCCCCCCCGAAAAGAGCAAAGTTGTGTTCTGTTCACTCCCAAATTAATGTAGTCCATTTAGAGAAACCCACATGAGTCAGTTCAAATCTGCCTCTGGCTTTTTGAATGTCTGTACCTAGTCTTGAGGTTGCAGGCTCACGGTTTACCTTTACTCCAAAGGGTACATTGAAAAAAAACAAGGTCTCCTGCTCCAAGGGAAAACAACAAGCTCTCAAAGACTGTGGCCTCTTCAATGTTCTCACCTCTGCAGGTGACTTGCTGAGGCTTATAGATTTGTTGGCAATACATGTGTGTCCGATGAAGCTGTTGTCCCACTCTCTCTGCTTGTCACACTCTTGAGAGTCAGCAGGGGCTTGAAATTAATAAGAATTCTGCTGTCTCATCACTTTACAGAGGATGGTACCTGCCATGTATAAGAACTAGCCTGCTCATAGGAGCAAGCCTGGCAGGAGAAGATTGGAGATTGTACCCTGTGCTCACTTAACTGTGTTCACAACAAACACAGCATGCTGATGTGCTGTGAAGGGCTTATGTAGCTGGAGAGTTGGAGGTTTGATTCTGTTGCTGTCCTTGTTCTGGATGGATAAACGCTCTCTTCTGTGTCAGGGAGACTTAATTTAGGAAATATCAGATTTCATTTCTATTAAGTGTATCCTTTTTAAAGTGACTATCACTATAGCTGGACAAATCATTATTATTATTAATGTATAATTACTTGTTCATGCCTGTTGGATGGGCTAGAACTATATTGGGTTACAACATATGCTGTAGACATTCATTGTTTTAAACCCAAATGCGGAGAATGACCAAAAAAACCTATCAAACTTGTCCCTTCTCCTGAAATGGAAATCTATTGTTCACACAGGAAACGTCTTAGTCTTCTGGGTTAGTATCTCTTTTTTCCATGCCTGAATGTATAGGAATTCACTGCCAAACACCCTCCCAAACAGAAGAAGTGCTTACTCAGCTAATTCCCTTTTCCTGTGGCTTTAGTATCTTTCTGCTTCTCTACTGTCACAGTAAATATTAGGGGTGTGTGAAGTAGGCAGTATTCAATTCGGATTCAGTATGCTCGGTGGCAGACCCAGAAGCATTTCCAGTCCACTTCTGGGTCTGCCACTGAGCGCATGGGGGACCCCCCCACACACACACACACACACACACAGACGCACACCCCGGCTCAGTGTTCGTCTGCAGTGGGGACCCCGGGTGCCCTCCCCAGACCCAGGAGGCACCAGTTACTGAGGGGGGGGTCCCCCACATGTTCCACAGCAGACCCAGAAGTGGACTAGAAGTACTTCTGGTCCACTTCTAAGTCTGTTGCCGAGCATGCAGGGGACCCCCTACGCTCCTGTGGGACGCTCCATCCATTCCAGCATCTCGGAGTTCACCAGCCACACCTGGTACATTGAGGTATGTAGAAAAAACATATAAAACTGTGTCTATGGCTGAATTGTCGAATCTCTCCAAATTGAATTGGAGGCTTCTGATTCGATTTGGAGAGATTGGATTTCCTGATTCGATTCGGATTTGAAGATTCAGCCGCCAAATCGGGCCAAATCTCCTCTGAATCGAATCAGCTACCGAAGCTTCACACAGTCCTCATAAATATCCCTTTCTGGAGGGGGCGACTGTTGTGGTAGTTGTTACTTTCTTGAACAAGTGGTGGATCCTACCAGGGGTACAGTGTCACCACAAAGTTGTTTTTATAACTATCATTGTAATTGTTTTAGGAAAGCCAATATTAATACTTCATATTTTCAGTCATTATAGTGTTTTGAACATAAACTAGATAACCTTCACAGTATTCCCGTAAGTATTAGATTCATTTTGCATGTGGTAGCCCTGAGACAAAGGGGTTATGTGGCTTGTCAAAGGTCAGAGAAGGCAGTCTTTGTCAGAATCTCAGAATCATAATCAGCATGCCTGGCTCCTAGCTATGTGACAGGAAAGGGAAATAAAATAGGTTTTATTTTGATTTTGTAACACAGGTCTATACATTTTTTCTCTTATTTATCTGTTTCTTCAGATGAGCTTATTAAAGAGTTTTACATGCTCTTCATGCAGCCTTTTAACAATTGCAAATTCCAAACATATTAATATCTTTACAAGAGCTTTAAATTGACATTTACATTTTTAAAGTGGTAGTGACTGCTTTTTTTAAATAGTCCTACAACCGCACCTGCATCTTCTTGTGAGTTTTAGGCAGATGAAAGTGAATAATCTGTGAAGCAAAAGCACTGGAATTTTTTTTACCCTAATTTCTGTTAATCAAGATGTTCTCTGTTTCTTGTGGTCATGGAGCCACCTACTGGCGGGAAGAAATGTCTGAGAATTTTGGATGACAGCTATGAAAATGTTTGCTGCATTTGCAACTGGGGACATAGCATTTCATTCCTCAAATTTTTATTTTTTGCAGATTCTTCTAGAGTGCCCTGTTGAATGTCATACTTTTTTTAAAAAACCTAATTTAATAATTCATCCAACCCATAAAATAACATATTTAACATTTAAATCTGGCAAAATATACATAAGAACAGACATTAATACTTTTTTGACAGTGCTACCACAATCTGAATCAATGTCCATAGAAGTCTTTTGTGTTCTCTTCCTCTCCTCCTACCAGTCTCCAGCAGTTCCTTAGTGTTTCTGTCAGTGCCTGTATTTTTCTCCATCTCTATATAATAATTCACCGCTTCCTGTCCCCTGTAACTGTGCATAACACACTTCTCACTATCTTCTTCTCTTCTTTGCTTATAATTTTTAAATTCATTCTAAATTTATTCTGAATTTGTTCATTCATAGAACTTACACTTCAATATTCAAAAAAGTTTCTCAAATTTTCTAGTTTGGAGGCAGGAGGAGATTCCAAATTCCAAAAATTTCCACCAAATTTCCATATAAGCATCTTTATGCCTTTATGCCCTGTAGAACACGACTTGATAGGACAACTCTTCCATTAATAAAATGTCCTAAACTTTTTTTAAACCACTCAGTGATTCTAAGGGTGTCACTTCTCTTCCAGGCTTTTACAACTGTAATTCTTGCAAACACTAGACGATGACCAATCAATTCCCTATGACACTTAGTACTTTGCAGTGTTCTCAGGAAGTTTGGTTTAATTAATGAAACTCTAAAGAGTACCACAATATGACACTTTGAAATGTTTCTAGATGTTTGAAAAATAACGTGTATGATGCATCTGATGCAAGATTACGCTGTTCCTCCTTTTCTTCTTTTTCTTTTCTGTGTATAATCTTTTATAATGATTGCTCAAATGCATGCCTGTACTTCATTTAATGTTTTTTTTTTTCCGCATAAATATGTGCCACACATTCCAAACTGTCAATTTAGAAAGTTTTAATATATTGATTCCATTATTTGGCACTTTCTGCTATTTGGGACAGTGGTCAAAGCTTTACAGAAACAACTGAAGATATCAGTACCTAATATAAGATAGACTGGTGCATGACATTTGAAACACTATTTTCAGTGGAGCAGCATAACCAGTAGTTGTGATATGTCAACTAAAAGTTGTATTATTTTCATCCTAGGTTTCACTCTCCTCCAGCTGCTTAGAAAAACTGCATGAGAAGTCAGTTCTACCTAATCCCCCCAGAGTTTTCGTTCCCAATTCCTTAAAAACAGCTTCTTTCCCTGGTGGCTTGAATAGTAGCAGCAGAGAAGGCTTGGCTACTTCACGCATGGAAACTCAAAGAAATAAAAAAAATGGTAGTCTGGACTCCATCATTAGTGCTACCCTCCCACGCATCATTATCATACCTACCTCAGAGACCAACCTATTTGAAGGACAAGCAAAGCATGAAAATGAAAAGGAAGAAGAGACTGAATTATTCAACATTCATGGCAAGAATAATAATTTGTTGGACATAGAAGGGCTTGGCTCTTCCACAGATTTTCTGGAAGCAGTTGAAAAGTTTCTGTCATAAGTATAGAAAAAGGAAATGATGTGTTAATTATTTCCTTGGCTACTTCACCGTATTTATTATACCAAATAACTAAAGTCTCATAGATTAAATCATCAGACTTCTGTATTTACATGGTAATGGTCACTAGACAGTCTTTGAATCCACCTTTTATTCAGATCACATCAGGAACAGAAACAGCCTTTTTAGCATGTGCTGCAAGAAATGAGCAAGGGAGTATCTGGTAGCAAAGCAGACTGGGATAGTTTAAATCAGCCTTCAGTTTTCTGAAGCCTGCTGATTAGATTTCAATACAGGTGGATGGACAGCAGGAAAAAAATGCCTAGTGCCCAATGCATACATACTTCTGTGTAAGTAGCCAGGATGGGATTTCATGTTTCAGCATCATTCTGTGTACT